GCATGCATGCCACTACCTGCAAAGTGCAAGCAGGCAGGTTTATGTGGTCCCCACATAGGACACGTAACAGCGTTGTACTATGCAGCGATCCGTCTGCATGGGTACCTACATAGCATGCATGCCACTACCTGCAAAGTGCAAGCAGGCAGGTTTATGTGGTCCCCACATACTAAAGGGAACTGCGTTGTACTATGCAGCGGTTCTCCTGCATGGGCTACCTGGATAGAGTGTTACTACCTGCAAACTGCAAGCGTAGTACTGAACAATGTACCTACCTGCCAAAACAGGTCCACATACAAAGTACCAGATAGGTCAGCACTGTTTGACCACATAGTACTTACATAGTATGTGTCAATGCGCAGTGTCCTTTTTTTTCCGGCAGACTGCAAGCATAGCAGTCAAAAAGTACATGCAGTGCACCTAGTCAGCATTTGACAATAGGCCGTCCGATCCTGGTCACGGAGCCACAGCAGTCCCAGACTCCCAGGCTAATATTATTTTATTTTATTATTATTTTAATTTATTCACAGTGGACATGACCAGATACAATGTCTTTTACTCGTGCCACCCATCCCACCCATATGGAATCATTATTGGTATATACGACATGTGTTACATGCACTTACTCCTCTTTAATTCAGGGGGGGGGGGGGGAAAAAAAAAAAAAAAAAAAAAAAAAAAAAAAAAAAAAAAAAAAAAAAAAAAAAAAAAAAAACAGAAGAAAAAAAAAAACAGAAAAGAAAAGAAAACAGGATGTGTTCCGGACAATCTTTCTCGTCCATCTCCAAGATATGGCTCCTTTTTAATTAAAAAAAAAAGAAAAGAAGAAGGGGGGAAAAAAAAGAGCCCATCACGCTGGCTGTGCTAACGATGACAGCATTTAAAATGATTTTATCATTTGCGGTTCCATTCCTCTACCAAATTGTGCAATAATGAAAGAAAAAAAAGAGGGGGAAAAAAAAGGAAAAAACTTCCAAAAAGTTTCAAAAAACAAATGCCTACCACTTGAGGCTATGGCTCCGCAATCATTACTGAGTCACATCCTCTTCTTCATCAAATTCACTGTGATTGCGATTACACACGCTTCGCTTCCCCCGCTACGACAATTACACGCTTTCAGCCTTTCACCAAAATCACCCGCTGTTTCACCACTCAATCACACACACATACTCATTATAAAACTCTCAGCAATCAGAATTTTTATTTTTATTTTTATTACTATTATATTATTATTATTATTATTATTATTATTATTATTATTATTATTATTATTTTATTATTATTATTATTATTATTATTATTATTTCCCCACCAATAAACCGGAGCATCTAGGAAAAAAAAAAAAAAAAAAAGCCCAATCGAAGCAACTATTGAAAGTCGTAATGAAGAGTCGTAAAGTTCCTGAATGACTGTGGTAATTTTTGCTGACATCATCATAATTGTCACCATCATCATCACCATCCTGTCGTAATGAAGAGTCGTAAAATTCCTGAATGACTGTGGTAATTTTTGCTGACATCATCATAATTGTCACCATCATCATCACCATCCTGACCATCATCATCATCATCGTCATCATCATCATCATCGTCATCATCGTCATCATCGTCATCATTAACATAGAGGTTATTACTCACACAAGAAGAAGCACACCAAGCAGTGCCAACTGTGCTTATTTTCTACCTTCTTCCCCCAAATACAACGTACGGTCATTATAGCTGTATTTGAGGCGCCTTTCAGTCTAGATGCAGCTATAATGACCGTATATTGTATTCGGGGGAAGAACGTAGCCAATAGCCTGTCTCTTATACACATCTAGATGTGTATAAGAGACAGCTCTCTCTCTCTCTCTCTCTCTCTCTCTCTCTCTCTCTCTCTCTCTCTCTCCCCCCCCCCCCTCCCCCCTCCCAACACCCAACTCAAACCGCGTTCATCACATGATTTACAAATTAAATTCATACTCTCTCTCTCTCTCTCTCTCTCTCTCTCTCTCTCTCTCTCTCTCTCTCTCTCTCTCTCCCCCCCCTCTCCTTGCCCCTTCCCAACACCCAACTCAAACCGCGTTCATCACATGATTTACAAACTCTCTCTCTCTCTCTCTCCTCTCTCTCTCTCTCTTGCTCAATCGCTCTTACATAGAACTCCAGTATCTACAGACACGCCACGCTGCAATGATTTTGTAAAGATTTACTTTGAAATAACACTTGCTTGACTTCACAAGATCACCTTGATCAGAGAGAAGCTATAGCACTCTACTTCCACTGCCATGTGTGCAAGCAAGTCCTTGCTAATTCCCATTTGCTGCCAAGCGCACTCCCAGGGCACAACACGATCGAAGGACTTCCCCGCTTCAATTCCTCCTTCCTATACCTCGCGGTTTCTGCACGGCAGGCACCCCACGACAGCGTACCTGACACCCCTCCACCCCTGATCGTCGTCATCTCAACCTGCCAACTGTTGGAGGCAAAAATTGCAGTCCAGGGACGGAAGTCGCCGTCACAATAAAAAACTCGGCGCCTGACGGGAGTTTGAACGGATTCCAGACTGATGTCGGCGGACTCCTCGGCATGTCCAGAGGTGTAGTACTCGTGGTCCCCGTACAGCTGACGCCCCCACCGGGACCAGACGGACCACCAGATGGGACTACGCCCGTGGGCCTTGACGGACCGCAACTGCTCGCCGCGGAGTCGACAACATTCGACGTACTGCTTGCTTCGCACGGGGATGGGGCGACGGCGTGATGCTCTATGCGCGTAACTCGCCCCACAACGCATTGCTGCACTAGACGATGCTTGGGTTCTGCGGATTGTGGAGAAGTCGGCTGATCTGACAAGTAGTAGTTTGGACGATTGGGGCACACGGCGACAAAAAATCCGTCCGCGTTGCGCATGAAGAGTGCAATATCGCTGACGTTGAGCCTCCTCTCCATCTCTAATTGCCGACAAAGCTTGTCCTTATGTACCACCAACTGGTACACATGTTCCGCGAGGCTGCGTATCGCTGCGCGGAACCATTCCAGCCCATCGTCACTTTCACCCTGGCTAACGCTAACATTCGACGACGCGGAGAGGGACTTTGCGAGCGTAATCAAAGCCTCAGGAAAGGGTACAACTGGATCGCTTCCCGGCATGGGGATGGCTCTTTGGAACCTTCCCATGAGCCCTCTCTGCTTGATGCTGACATTCCGTAATGCCGCATACCTTGCTGCCCCACTGTTGGCTGCACAATGATTGGTCCGTGCCTCCTCGCGTGCTTCATGAAGAAGGTGCTCCAAGTGGGCACAGTTCACCTGCGTTCATCCAGTCGAAACACACACAGACAGACAGAAAAAAATAAAAACACAGTGACAAAAAAAAAAAAAAAAAAAAAAAAAAAAACAGAAGAAAAGAAAAAAAAAAAAAAAAAAAAAACAAAAAAAAAAAAACAGTACAAAAAAAAACACAGTAAAACAAAACACAGTGAAAACACTGTGAAAACACAGTGAAAACACAGTGAAAACACAGTGAAAACACAGTGAAAACACAGTGAAAACAGAGTGAAAACAGAGTGAAAACAGAGTGAAAACAGAGTGAAAATGAAGAAGGTGCTCCAGGTGGGCACAGTTCACCTGCCTGTACACAGTCAAACCACACACACAGTTAGAACACAGAGCTGCCCGGTAAACCATAGGCAGAGAGGGATATGACGATAAACATATATATATATATATCACAGCCCATCGTTTGTTGTCCTCCTTTCCTTCTCTGCCTATGGTTTACCGTAGGCAGCTCTGTTTGATGATATATCGACAAAAATATATATATATGATGAGTTGGCGAAACTCCGACGAAACGGTTTGTCACAGCCCCTCGTTTGTTGTCCTCTGCTCCCTCTGGTCCCTCCCTCTCTGCCTGCCTGCCTACGGTTTACCGGCCAGATCTCTACAATGGTATACATAAATGTATGATACTATGATCATAATAAATATTAAATAACCTTCTCTCCTCTACGGAAACTTAAGAGGGGTAATAATTTACTAATAAACGAGCTCAAAATGGTGAAGGCATAAATTACAGGGTCAAGTTACCACTGTGGTAAGAATCTTTTCTGACATCAAACGTGCGTACGTCATTAGTTTTTTATTTTATTATTCTTTTTATATCAATATTGAAATTTGAATCAACTTCAATTCAGTTGTTTTCCAAAGCGAAACTGGCTAATGCTGCAAGGATAACTCCGGGTAGAGTTATGCGGCCCCCGGCCTCAAATTTTCAAATATTAATAAAAAATTCCTTGTTTAAAAAAAAAAAAAAAAAAAAAAAAAAGTTCGTTTGGAAAAAAAAAAAAAAAAAAAGCCCAATCGAAGCAACTATTGAAAGTCGTAATGAAGAGTCGTAAAGTTCCTGAATGACTGTGGTAATTTTTGCTGACATCATCATAATTGTCACCATCATCATCACCATCCTGTCGTAATGAAGAGTCGTAAAATTCCTGAATGACTGTGGTAATTTTTGCTGACATCATCATAATTGTCACCATCATCATCACCATCCTGACCATCATCATCATCATCGTCATCATCATCATCATCGTCATCATCGTCATCATCGTCATCATTAACATAGAGGTTATTACTCACACAAGAAGAAGCACACCAAGCAGTGCCAACTGTGCTTATTTTCTACCTTCTTCCCCCAAATACAACGTACGGTCATTATAGCTGTATTTGAGGCGCCTTTCAGTCTAGATGCAGCTATAATGACCGTATATTGTATTCGGGGGAAGAACGTAGCCAATAGCTGTGGAGAGATTAGTCGAACCTCTTCGCTAATAGACAGAAGAAATAACCGAACACATAACATAGACAGGGAGAATAGCAACAGGTCCAATGGGAAAACGTTTTAGGAAGAAAGGAAGAACTCCGAAAAAGAAACATAAGAATCTTTTTGGTATTTACACTTTTACGATCTCTACATTTCGCCACCGTAGACAAATATCAGAAGAGGCATTACCACCACACAATCCCTCTCCTGATACCACCACCCCTCTTCCTCTCCTCCCCCCCCCTCTCGCCGCCCCCCTTCCGTACCCTTCCCTCCCTTGCCCCCTCCAACCCCC